CTCAACCATAAGCTACTAGTTTGCACATATTGAAAGTAGGGAAAAGTTGCTTGCCAAATATACCTTGTAACCTCAAGAAAGATGATAGCTTAGTCTTTCCCCCTCCAAAATAACTCCACCAAAGCCTTTAAGCTTCCTTAGTGATCACTTGTATGGAGTAGTTTCAAATTTGGTTGGCTAAAACATAAGATCGAAGCTAGCAAGTGAAGTAGAAAATGGAGTTTTTCTCTCTTGTTTTGCTCCTCAAAACAGCCGGCCAAGAAGAAGAAAATGGAGGATATTTGGGATCAAAATTTGTTTTAGTAAAGTGAAGAAAATTAGGTCAAAGTCCAACCTCCAATGATGTAGTAACGCTTGGCCTTTCTAGTGTTTTCTCTAATCCTTTGGCTTCCAATGGTTACATCATATAACAAACCTCTAACTATCCTCTAGCACCTTGTATAATAATATCCCTTGATACCTCATCACCTAGTCGTCAAAGTTTTATCGCACTAGCGGGTCCTACGTCTATAACGCACTTCAAATTTAACGTACACTAACTTATACTAGGAAAATGATTTAAAACTGTACTTACTTATAAAAATGCATAGAAACTTTAATATTTTAAAGGCAAGTATAAAAATGTAGGCAAAAATAAAATAATGCCTAGAAAATGTGAAAATTTTTTGGGTTCTGACATTAATTATCAATGAAACTTGGAATCCAACGCTAGTTCATGAAAGTGTTAAATCTAGGGAGTTAACTCACTTACATAGGGATGCACATTTGTGATTTTAGCCAAGTTATTTCATAGAATATAGTGAACTTATAGCTAGTTTCATCATCGCTATTGTAGGTGTGCTGTAGTTATAAGTATGGTAGGTATACCTGTGAAAACGAATATCATGTACAATAGGAAATTGCCATAATTTAACCAAATTAATCAACTTCATTTAATCAGTAAAATCACTTGTAAGAATAGTCAAGAAATCCATGACCCTAGGAATGTGTTTATTCTTATTTTTGTTACTTTTATTTCATATTTGCAGTATAGAATTACTTGCTCAATTCTAGTGGTCTAAATAATAAAGGCATTCGAATAACACCTATAATTGATTACTCTTCCCAGTGGGATCCTTACTCAAATATTTTCTATACTCGTGTACAACTTGTGCACTTGCAATAGTGAAAATTTGAGTATAATTTAAAAATTCACACTATCAATATAATTAACTATCAAACAATCAACCTTCCAAATTTGTAGGATATGTCGTAGTATTTAATTGGATGAAAAATATGCCCTGAAAATTTGTTTATGTAATCAAAATTCCACTGTCTACAGGTTGAATTTGAATTAAATGTAGACTCAAAGCAGATTAAATTACATTAGATTTATTGTAAACTCTAAGACATGGGGCTGATTCGGTATTTCACAAAACTCCACAATTTTCTTTTATTTTTCTTACGTACTATGAAAAAATTGTAGTATTTAAAAGAAAAGATATGGATATGAGGAAAGAAAGAAAAAATTTCTTCTAGCTACTTCAAACATTAGTATCCTGGATATATGAAAGATACTTTAACATTGGTCACATGTATTCATGACCAAATGTATTGAATGTTAAAAAAGTGTTGACATAAAATTTTCAGAAGAATAAGGAAAATCATTTTCGACTGACCCAATAAAATTGTTTATCCCTGTTAAATGGAGAGAACTGTTGTCTAATTTTCTTGTCACGCAAAGGAGAAAGAGACGTTGCATATGAATATATTGTATTTTATTTATTCGTGATTAGTCACTCATAACATTCCTGACCCACATGATCACATTTTAAATTACGTGTCTATAAATTGGTCAATGAGTAAATCTTAATGATAAATTAAGGTATTTGGCAAAATTGGATCCAATTTAAAAGCAACTACTTCAACAAAGAATGCATCCTTGGCGTTCAATGGTTTCTTGTTTAGACTACTTTTACACTCTTCCATGTATTTTGTTTGAATTTGTCATGTTTTAAGGCTTGTTTTTACAAGTTTATAATTTTTTAAATTTTTAGTAAATCATTTTTTCAAAATTTTTCTAGTATGGGGAAGGATGAGATTTAAGAAATGGAAAGGAAGAAACAAAATTTGAACCCAGAATTTTTTAATCTTGAGATCTCAACTTTAGCCACGACTAGAATTTATAGTAAATCAATTGCAAACTAACATACATTAAATCTGCTCAACTAAACTACAAGCAATAATATTATTTATTTAAATTGTAGGGGTATGAATTTAATCTTTCCCTACTGTTAATTTTACTAGTTTGTCCGTCTTTTAATAAATAAACCTTTTGCTTAAATTTCAAATGATACCGTTTATAGGGAACAAAAATTGATGTGATTACCTTAAACAGACGGGATTTTCTTCATGTATAATCAAAACCTGGTTGGGTTTTTTGGCTTCGTTCATTCATTTGTTCCTTTTCTATTCAAATATGGATACAAAAAAATGCAATATTCCATTAGTACAATAAGCACAGCCCTTTTTTTCGGAGATTTATATAAAAAAAAGTCCCACATTTCTTCTCATTAATAAATTCTTCTTTCATAACATATCTACATCTGCACGAATCTATTTTTCTATTAATTATTTTATGAGTTATTCAAGAAGCAAATATGTCATGGTTACAAGAGTCTATTCATTATGTATAGACTTTAGGTGCGCCTGCGCCCATCTATTTTATGACTTATTTAAGTTCTATTTCTCTAATAAATTCATTAAACATAACATGTCACTCTCGTAAACTATATTAATTTCTTCTAGTTAGTAGCCTCTTCTTTCTAACTGTTGGTCCTAGAAAAAAGAATTAAATTGTCATAAATAATGTCATAAATTAACTTTAATTAGAAAAAGGATTAAAAGGAAATTTTATTACTCAATATCAAACAAATAATGCATTTCTTTTGGGGCAAAATCCCTCCAATCCATTCCCCGGATCATTGATAGACCTTTTCCGTCTTCGGTTCTCGACAATTTGCAGTGGATTTAACGTCGTCTTCTCTTATAATTTAGGCCATCAATGTGCTTTCAAAAGGATAATTATGACCTACACCTTTTGCAAGGCCCATGGTTTGTCCTTTCCTCTACTATATACTATTTTATATGTGAATTAATCTTATTATATATATTGATAGTATGTATACTATATATTATTATAGTTGAATGCATGACATATATATATAATTTGAATTTCAAATTCAAATTTAGATTATGTATTATGCATCCAATTTTGAATATATATACACTGTTCATGTAAAATTAATCTATTTTATATTTCTAACAATTAAATATCATCACGTTCCAGTACAAACTATTTATTCATCACCAACCCGAGCGTTAATTTTCACTTTACCACAATGTTGTTACAAACAACTGCACCACATTTCAATATAATCCTCGCTTGTTTACAATATGATATTTATTGCTACTATCCCCATTGAACACTAGCGGTATTGTCTCAAAAAATGTTCAAAGTGGATGAAAGCCGATTTTCTGCAGTAAATCAGGCCAATTTGATCTTATTTCATCTGAAATGGTTATTTGTTAGTTAATGATAGTTGTTGAAAGTTGGCAACTCATCAAACCTACACAAGAGATGCAACTTTTCAAATCTGAAATTTCGAAAATTTCTCCAACATTTTAAAGTGTCAAAATCGATAATGTCCTATGGTAGAATATTTTACTCTACGGCAAATGGGCAATGGCAAGATTTTCCTCCACCTCCATTTGCAGCGAACAAGAGATGAAAGTTGTGCAGAAAGTAGAGCAATATTCTAGTTCTATTAATAAAATATCGTTCTCTAGTGTGCTCAAGATTTCGTTGCTTTGCTAAAATTTTACTGAAGCTCTTTTGTCCTCTTCTTTTCTAGGTTTCCTGATCATTCTTGATCAGGATAGTCAAACCCTCTTGATTCATCAGACGATCACGTCTTAATTGCAAAAAAATTAGATTCAGCTTCGAGATTACTTGAGATCATCTTTGCTTACATTATGCAGAATGATTTCTCTTCTTCCAATTCTTATGATTGACGAAACGTCGATGCCTCTATCATATCTAGGGCTTCAATCCCTTTCAAAAATTGGAAGCAAATATGTTTCAGTTCACCTTTGGTTCTAAAACGGAGCTGGAAAGCTCATTGCAAAAGGTTCTTGTACACTGGGTAGACGGATACTCGTCTTTCATGAATGGAATAAGGGCTTGAAGATGATTAGAAAATTGTGACATTGTTTAACATGTTGTTCCACGTTGAAAGTTGCCAATATACAGGCTCTCTAAGTTGGGGAAAACAGCTAGATCTGTAATTCACAATGTTGTGGATGTAGCGGTACCGCGGATGGTTATTTTCAATTAGAACCATTCAGAATTGATGTTGTTATCGTTATTGTATCATTGTTTCTAGTACTATCAAGTCTATCATATTCCTATTCTAAGGGAAGAGGGAATAAAATACTGCAATGTGGCGATGGTGAGAACTGTAACTCCAGTTCATAAACTTTTATATATGGCTGAAAATCTTTGAAACATTATTGTGGGATATTCTACTAAAACCCCCTCACAAATGTAACTTTGACAAATGAGCTTAATTTAGTAAAAAAAGAACTAAGTCACGAGAAAAACTATAAACGAGGTAACAAACAAACCTATGGCCCAACTTTGATACCATGATAAATAACTTAAACTTCCATCTCAAAATCAATTAACAATGAGTGAAATTGCCCAACAACTTTTTATATATAGCTGGAAATCTTTGAAATATTATGTGAAATATACTACTAACAAGACCAAAGTGACTTCGTCACTTGAATAACCGTCACCATATTGTATTGTTCTAGCTTATACAACTACCTCATTTATGTTAATCCATATAGACAACTTAGAATAACAACATCCAATTGGGAGACAAATCCTTAAGCAGCATTGGTTTCCTACCTTCTTAATTCGGATTCTGGACCTGGTGAAGCGACAAAAAAAGCCTGGTCTTTTAAGTTTACTTATTTCTGAATGGTTTCATACTGTCTTTGTTCATCCAGAAGCTCAGGCCTAGAAATGCACAAGCTTATCTTCCACGAGGTAACATTTAAGTTTTTCAACAGAAGGCAACGAAAGCATATGCATATGCTAAAACCGTACTTAGCTTCTACAGGATTGCTGCATAGTAGAAGTTTCTGCAGAGTAATATAATTCATCTATTCTGTTTTATTCTTTCAATGTAAACAACTTATTTATATACTATAATTATTATTTGATGAAAAGCAGCGAACATGACAGATGCAGTAACATAGGCTCTTACCAACTGTGCAGAGACGATGTTGGTCCTGCAGTTCAAGAATGTAATATAGGCAGGAAAACGTTCACAAGACTGCTACAGTTTCCTTCTTTGAAATCCCATTTGTCTGGGTTATCTGGGGAACCTTTTCCAGCCCATTGGCAGCCTGCTGCTTTTCTGGAACTGTACCTTTCCCTTCAGACACTTCAGGCTCCTGTAAAGGGTAGGATCTACCACTGCCACGCACAAGATCTTTTATAACTGTTATAAGATCTTTATCCTTCAGCAAGGACTCCAATGTTACATGTACACCTATGAAGAGCCAATAAGGGAACTAATTACAGCGACATGAAAATTTCATATAATCTTTCATTGAGGGCAAGTGAGATGCTGACACTGTCATTGAGAAAAGAAGAATCCCTCAAATAATGATCTTTGACATAGAAGGAAAACGAACCAAATACACCTTCACACTCAAGCTTAATCTTGGATTTTTTATTACCTCAGAAAGGCTGACATGCATCAAATCCATTCCAACAATCTTTGTTCTTTTGGTCATGACTGATTATTAGTCACTTTCAGCAACCATATGGAGTACTCAGAGAACAAATTATGCTGTGATGTGTTTATTTCGTAGTCAGTTTTTTTTTTTTTTGCTGTTCTTTTAATCAGTTCTTTCCTGTTCCATTTAATTCAATTGATGAAAGAAAAATATTCACTAGAACAGTGGGACAAAGAAAGCAAACTTAAGCAATAGATACATCATCAGAATTTTGGTCTCATTAACATCTACAGAGTAGATGAAAACTTCAGAAGCTAAAAGAAGGCTAAGAAAGATGAAAATTGCTCTTAACTACAGCTCGAACATATCATTCCTTGTACCTTTGAAGGCTTCTTTCAAAACATTTAAGATTGACTGGCAACCATTTGCTGCTTGCATGGTTGCCAATGACAGTGAAATTGATCTTAACCACATAAACTGACTGATGTATTGAAGTTGCTTCACTCCCACAGCTATATATGAGATGAAGAGATGGAGCGATAACATGTTATTTATGCTGCCCCACATCCTATTTTTGTTCTTCTCCACATTCTTATCGGGTGATCAAGGAATTTGCCTTTGATTTTTCAATTGTTGATATTTCAATCTAGGAGATTTCTAACAGAAAAATTTGGTCACATAGATCTTAGCCAATTCGCGTCCCCACACATCGGCTGAAGTGGGCAATGAACAGGAGTTGACTGTTAAGAGATTTTAAGCTTCTTTATTGCTTTTCTAACAGTTGAGTTTGGAATAAACTATTACTTGGATAAATTTAAGTTTTTAATTTTACTCACAGGAGAGATTAAGTTTCGTGTGACTACTGGTATGCATATAGTGCACATGAACAGTAAAAGATCTTTCTGTTTTTAATATACAGGAAAAGAAGGCAAAGAGGTGAACTGACAAGAAGAATTCAGGTTCATTATAAGATCCTACCAGCACTCCAATTTACTGCAACCTTAGCATATATAAATGATAGGCTGAGGTGTTGATTTGGAGTTTAGCAGGAATAATTAGGCACTTCAACTTGGTACTTAGCTGGAAATTTAATCTGCAATTCATGAATTTGGATGGAAAGAAAATCAGGAGAATAGATATCCCAATCATGTCTCTGGGAGTTTTTCAGGGAGAGAGGAAATTATGGGTAAGAATTTTATACCCGTCAAACAACCACAATCTTTTCCTCCCATAAGTAGTATGATATAGGGAAAAAAAATGATATAACCTCACAGTTAATTTGAAAATAAAAAAATCATGCTTCAAACACAATTCAAAAAGATTAAAAAGAAGGGCACTTTAGGAAAAGGCAAAATATATTCCCCCCAGAACTCTCAGAATTTTTACAGAGAACTCTTCTCTTCTTCTCTCTCTTCATTAATGTTTTCCCTTCTTTTCTTGTCCTCCCTAAAACTAACAAACTAGCCTAATATAGACTTTTATAGCTCTTCATCCTCCTATTTCACTCCATTTATATATGTATTTTCTCTCTGCTAAAAATACCCAAGCACGAGAAAATGTTCTCAATTTTTTCCCTCTCCTTTGCTCTGCAAATCTTCCCACAAATACAAAATTCTAACGTTCTCTTAGGGCAAATGTGTAATCTAGAGCATAAAGGAACCAACACATGCATTTGGTACAGAGAGAGATCACCAGTAGGTTCTAGCAGTGCCCAGTCAACTGTAGTACTTTGGCCACCAGAGAATGCAATGACCGTTAACCGAAACAGAAGAAAGAAAAAAGAACAAAATGTCTTCTGAAGAAATTTACGTATGGTCATAAATGTCCTTCAAAGATTTATCTCATGGAACTGCCAAATTTAAGTGACATTCCCAGAATGTCAAAAATTAGACCGTTCAGGAGTTTAGCAGGGTCTTTGGAATCTGAAATATTTGAGGAGCCAAAAATTTAGATTAAGTAATAGTTTAATGGTCACAAGGTCTTGTTTGCCTTATCTTGACTATCTCCAAGCTTACAGTTATGTAACTGTGAAGACTACCATATTAACTTAAAAAAGATATTTCTTTTACAAGCATGCAGGCACAGGTCAATCTGACAATAGTATGAATTGGAAATTTAGCATGGTGTTCAGTATTATTCAGCCAAGGGATTTCACATGCATTTATTATTATTTCCCCATGATTGATCAATATCAGTTTAACGGAGTCAGTGAGTGGTAAGAAGATGTTTATAAATGGATTGGAACTGAAAAAATGAATAACTATGCATATCCCCTCAAATACACAGTGGACTTAATAATCACACATTATCTAAATTCGCTTCATTCCTTTTTTTCAATTCCTCTAGTTGGAAAATGCATGTTACACTAATTTGTTTCTTAAATTCTCTGGAGGATGGTCCTTTTATGGAATATAACCACAGAAGTCCTAGAACTAAATTTAACAAGGCAAACTACTCTGATGCCATAAAATATACAGGAAATGCAAATTATTTTAAATTGGGTAATTGCTTCTATACCATAAAAAAGAATGACGACGACATAGCTACAAAAAGATGCCAAGGAGAATGCACTTACGATAGCGCCAATAGTGCTTTGGGTTTGTTGGATCATTGATTGTCTCCTCTACAGCAAGGCGAGTTGTGTATTCTTCTTTCAGGGCTAACAAATCCTGTAAAGGAAGAACCATGAATAGAGCATACAACATTATCAGGCGCATAACACTATGTTTTCATTCCATTTATTCCACCATGAAATATGAAACTTTAAGGGAAACTTATTTCTAAGTTGTATCTTTCTTGAAATGCTTCCCAGGTTAAACATCATATTAGGGTTAGCATAATAATACCAGAAAAGATATGTTCCTTGCATAATAGATATAGAGGACAAAATGAATGATGCCCATTATGTAACCGTAGAAGTCATATATGTTCTAATTGATTTTAATTTACTAGAACTGATCAGAACAAATAAATCAAAAAGAATCCGTTAATGTTATCTGTGCAAACATTTTTACTGAAACAAAACTGAATTTTGACAATGGACTTCAAATAGCAGTGCATGTGGATTGGCATTACATTTGGAAATCCAGTTGGTTCTGCTGTCAAACTCAACCAAACAACGCACTTGGAGTTGCATGAATACAGAACCATAACCAAATATAATTCCTAAACATCATTCAGCTAGTATTCTAAGTGCTTGTTTCTTAGACTTGGCACAACATGCTTTGCAAAATTTCTTTACCAACAGCAGAATTCTAAAGCAGATCCTGCACCTTCATGGTTCTATGATATGTGTGTACTCATATTTCTACCTACACAAGATTTTGAATGTGTTCAAGCCCTTTTACGAAATGAATAAGCTTGAAACATTTGTGTCATACTTATCAGCAGAATAGCAAAAAGATTTCTCCCACTCCTGTTATTAACTCACCAAAAGAAAAATTTACATCCAGAATGGATCTGACATGAATATAGATAGTCCAAATGTCATTATACACTTTATGGAGATTTTTGCAGTTTGTTTCAAGTCATTGGCATATGCAATGTAAGACAACTGTTTAAAATATGACCTGTATGGAATACACAGAGGAAAGCATACCTGGACAGGAAAAATTGACCACATTGAAGGAGCTTCAACATGCTGCTGTATAATAAAGTATGCAATTTCAGGAATGCATTGATCAGGTGGTGAATTATTGGATCCCAAAAAAGTTTGGAAAAAACGTAGTCTTCTTCCTTCATCTTCTTCCCACCAAGCACGCAGGGTGGAACAATCATGGCATGATGGAGCACACACCTATGGCCAAGTATAAAAAACTTGTTATCTAAACTTCCAGCAGAAGGAAACTGTACTATATGTTTGGGAAAGGAATTATTCTACTTATGAGCATTGTCAAATTCCACAACTTCTGAGAATGCTAACAGGGAAAAGAACTTAATGGACTTCCCTCCAAGAACAAAAAGAATCAGGTATATACAAAATCCAGTTCAGAAGCATCAGAGTCATTGCCTACACTATAATGCAAAAATACGTGGCATTTTTCTATCGAACAAGAAAAATTTTTGTCTGGAAGAATATGCACTTATTCCATACTTACACTACTATTAAAAGCTTGATGCATTCATTAGAAGGACCACATGGCCAATATTAAGACCAAGAGTGAGTGCCCTATAGAATCATTTCTTTCTGGTAGAGAATATCACCCATCCAAGCCTCCAAAGGCACAATGATACAGAACACAAACCAAAAAGATATTCCAGATAGCAAAACTACCCTGACCACCAACTACAGCCTCCAGGGTCAGGGTAAACTCAGGAGAAAGCTTACCCTTTGTGCTCCCAATCAAACAAATGCAATAATAGGGCAAAGGAAGACAGGACATCAAAAAAATAGGCATCTCCAATGAGTCAAAATTCAATACATACAACAGAAATTTCAAATAAAATTCCACCCTGCACATTTTTGACAGTATTACCATATTAGCCAATATAGAGGAGCAAAGGCCAAAAAAAGGACAATCCAAAAAAGTTCCATATAAGACTTGAAATATCTTTCTTTTATCTAAATGACAATTGGTAGGTACAGCATCTAACTAACATGCAGTTAAATTTGAATAGAAACGAATTGCAAGTACATTTTCTTTGCAAGACAGTTATTTATATAGAGTTTGGTGCAAAACAATTAAGTTGCAACTAAACTATGTTTACAGTTAATTCTCTTCCATTCTACTATTTGGTGTTCAAATCATCCACTCAGGATTTAAAGTGGTTACTGTTTCTCCTTTCCCTCTGATTCCAAGGTCAACTCATACATAAAAGCGCCAATTTTGTTCTCACATAGTTTGACGATTCTACTTCAGTTAATCCCAAATCAGATAGAATATCCAAAAAGTGTGCCACTTAAAAGGTAAGTCGATGAATTCAAAAGAAAACAACTTTAGTGGCCAAAAGTTGACCATTCAAATAGTTTAGTGGTCATTTAGGTAAGTTACCCTAAGGTTACAAAAAGAGAAGCAAACTTTTTTCTCTTGTTCATAGTTTAAGTAAAAGAGAGAGAGGGGGGAGGGGGGAGGGGGAGGGGGGGCTTTACCAAACAATAGTTTGCAGAAATTGTTTGAAAATGACAAAGTGATCTACAGAGGGTTGGCATTTATATAGACCAAGTAAGCTTCAAAGAGTGAAGACTCTAGAAGACCTTACCGTCATATAGGGATATTGTGACGGAATACCAAATTCAAGACCCGGTTCACTAGGCATGCGTTGAATGCGCAATCCTATTAAACCTAGCTCTTGCATGACCTGCATCAATAAGATTCACCAAAAATAACAAGAAAGTATTAGTCATGGCTCTGAAAGAAGCTTGATATAGGCTTAAGAGATTGAGGAATAAAGGTAAATAGTTCAGGCAGGGACACTTTGTACAGGATGGACACAAGAAGGAATTAGACCAAGATCCTCCCCACAAGCCAGCATATCTGATGAGTTCAACAGTACAGGCAGAGTCTTCATCGCGTTTTGACGCCAAAGACTTTCTTGCCGATGGAAGTAGTAATCATTATACAGCCTTCTAAGAGTATTTTTGCTGTAGCAACAATGCCCAAAGAGATACTATAGTGTTAGAATATTTGTATATAAGAGAACTGACAAATCTCATCTTAATTTTCTCTCAAGGACTAGAAACAAAAGTGAAATAATAAGTTGAATGCCAATACTAAAATTTACGAAACCAATTTCATACCTTTTCAAGGTCAGACAGCAATAAATCAAATATACCAAAAGTATAAAATATTAGGTACCTATGCTCATCTAATTCACGGAAGTTTGATGTATCCTCCATACTGAAACGAGGATAGAATTTTCTTGGATCTTCTGGATCTCTAATGAGCACTATATCCTGCCGGATATATTGATAGAATTAAATTCAAGGGACAAGGATCTCTAAAGGAACAACAACGGCAAGACATCATGGCCATTATTACATATAAGTGTGAAATCAGGATTGAATAACTCAAAATGAAACTTCTGATATACTTCCAAACAATATGCTTACCCTCAGAAGATCAAATAGCTGGAGTCGAAGTTTCTCTTCACTCTCTAACATCATGGACTTCTCCAAGCATGACTTCAACTTTGATGCAATCTTTTTCTCTGTATTGCAGTCTTCTTTGAACTATTTTAACGAAATGAAAAGTACATAAAACAGTAATATACCCATTTGTAAGGTTGTCTAAGGGTTTGCAAGGATACGATTTGTTTCAACATGGAGAAGATAATAACCATTGCGATCACATGAGAAATCATGTAACATAAAATCAAAAGAGCACTGAATTCCTCTCTCTTTTTGTTGAGTTGTTTTGGTTCTTGAAAAATTTACATGTGCAACACCAGTTATCGTCACTGGAGATCTTTTAAGTTTGAATATCAAGGCAAGTATTAGGGCACCATAAAGTGGGAGAAAGAAGCACATTGACAATCTCACCATTAGCAGACTAAATAGTTACAAATGCTTAACAATATTAAAATTGTACTTTGCACCAGTGCTCCATAAATCATAGCCTTAGTTTGGTTTTACAACTAAACTATTTTTCAAACATTTTGCACTTAAAACTATATAGTATGATCGAAATACTTCATCAAATAATTTGTCACCTATAATAGCAGCACCACCATCTCGAGCAAACTAACCATTTCTCACACATGCTTAGTAAAAAACTTCCTCTATTTGCAATCAAGCTAAGCCTACCCACTTATATGCAATAAGTGTCCAAGAAACAACATATAGAACCCTAAAAATCTATCCATGGATCAATTAGCTCAAGTGGAAGGCAGAACACATGACCACACCCATGATCTGAGTTTCCAAAGGCAACCATACATTAGTTCACAAAGCCCCCTTGAATGCAACCTCCAGCTTCTATTCCAAGAAGCACCTTCCATTTTGGCTTGCTTTGACCTTTACTAAATTGATATGCCTAGTTATTGTTGTTTCAGAACATCCTTTGAGGCCCTTAATTTTCTTGGTGTTTCTTGAGAAAAAAGACAGGTGCAGGCAGTGGAGGAAGGTCAGGCTAATGCTTAGAGACGGTAGTGGGGTTGCAGGAACAGAGAAAGATTTCAGTGAAAGTTAATTGCATGTCTTCATCAGTTATCATTTGTGGTCCATAAAGGCCTGACCACTCAGTAGACTAACCGAAGCAACAGACATATAGTTTGTAATGCAGTGAAAAGCTGAGAGTAAAAATTAATGAAACTTAGATAAGAGGCAAAATAAAACAGCAATTAAATTTGGTCGATCTTCTCATTTTTGCTGTAGCAACTGCATATCAAACACTTTGCAATTTGGTTCTTTTCAACGAAAAGAATAAAAATTAAAACAGATGAAACAAGAAGAGAAAAGAGCAGAAAATAAAAAATTTGATACCAATAGGGAATGGGACTATTATGTTACTCCAACTCTTTGTTTTACCCCAACGTACCCGTGTCGACATGAAATGACATTGGTACTGGTACGAGAATCATTTGGGATGCTTTGGAAATTTTTTGGGTACATTGACCATTTTGTCTAGTGGATGTTGATAATGAAGAAGGAAGAGAGGCGGAAAGCGAAGTAGAAACTTTAGGCCAGTCTAAAATTCTAAATTTCCCTCATATATATATGAAATCTCTAAAACTCCCAAGGAAAAAAGTCCCTGTTCGTTAAAAAGTAAACAACCGATGTACATAATTTGTATATTTGCTAGAATCTGCATAGTACCTACATACCAGTATCCGTCTCTTTAGAATTGTCCCGTATCCTACTTTTAGATGATTGACAAACTACACACTTTGACACATACCCATATCTGACTCTCACACCTGAGTCAGATTAACATCAGGGACTTATACTTCATGCTGATAGCTATATAATAAGCAGCATTAAATCTCTAGACTAAGGTCAAGTAACACAACTGACAACCACAGTAACTTCCAAGAGAATATACTAGTATTTACTAGCAATCTAATGAAAGTATATGAATGGAATTTAAGCATGCTACTGTCATATGTCATTGGGTTAACATAGCCCGATGTGGTTATTCATACGATCACATGGCCCGCAAATATTATTAAGTCCAAGCATTTTTTAGGTCCGAAAGTCACCTGGGTGACAGGATCAAACAAACTATAATTTTAAAACAATATTCATCTTTAATAGAGTTCTTCAAGAAGACAAAATCATCAATTACATAGGAGAAAGGGCCACAACAATATTTACATTTAAAAACTTTTCAGGCATGGAATCTATTCCTCATAAAACTCAGGTTTGAAGACATTCTGTGGCAGCATTCAATGCTATCTTAAGATTAAATTCCTGTAAACCCCCAGAAAAAGGACCACAAAGGTGAAATGGGAAAGGTCTTCCAATCATTCCAAGTATAATTCATCAAAAATCTATCCAAATTTGAGGGGATCTATTGCTCTTCTTTCTGCGGGTAAACACCATAGGAGTGCTCAAAAGACCAAAGAAAGACTATTGTAATTTCTCCAGTGAGTAGATTGATAAGAAGCTTTCGATAGGAAAGAGAGTGAACTTGTTTGTTTGAAAGCTATATCTACATATTTCTATGTTCCTTGTTACAATTTGGATCAAACAAAGATGAAATCAAATAGGAACAAACTGTTTTAAGAGCAGTATTATATAATAGAACTCTAGTTTAAGAGTTGCTCCCATAAACTTGTTAGCCATGATTAATTCTAAGATCTTTATCAGGCACTATCATTGGGATTAAAGAAGCTACAGGTCAATTAAAAGCCAGTTGTGAACAATGCTAGTTGAAAATATAAAACAGATATTAGTGCTTAATATGGATTGTAACCTCATAAACATCTTTCTGAGATTCCTTCATAAAGATAGAAGCTACAAAGGCCCAAGAAGCTCCAAATTTGTTCTGAAAGAGCATAAGCAGAAAAAAAGTACAAATTGATTAGGAAAATTATGTAGTTTACTTTGTTATTAAGAATTATGAATTGATGTATACCTCTAATAACTCTCGCCTAATACAAGGACGGGTCAAGCGATCAAAGTCCCATATTCCTTCCTTTTCAAGCTCTTCCTGAGAAAAATTAATTAACATATAAAAGACAGGATAAACAATTATCTCCATGGCCTGACTGCTGCCCTTCAGCCATAAAACAAAACAAATTTGCTATTTCAAAACCCCAGCTACCTGGCTTAAAGGAATAGATGGTCGGAATTTTCCACAGAGACCAGTCATAGCATGATCTGGCAGTTCCCATATTCTAAAGAAACCCAAAATATGATCAATCCTGTAAGCTGTGAAGTATTTTGCCATCTGCATATTTCAACAAAGTATTTGAGGAAATTAGCCATGACAAAAGAATACTAGTTTGCGAAGGAGGGCTGAATGCCTGAAACAAATGTGCTCAAGGAGAACCTGCAACAGACGAGCACGCCACCAAGCATAGTTGTCTTTAGACATTTCTTCCCAGTTATAAGTCGGAAATCCCCAATTTTGCCCATTTTTATCAAAATAATCTGGAGGAGCCCCAGTAGAGGTGTTCATGCGAAACAAATTTGGATACACCCATGTATCCACACTATTCCTGTCAACACCAATTGGGAGGTCACCTTTAAGAATGACTCCTTTCGTTCTGGCATATTCTGCAGCTTCTGACAACTGTAATTATCAAAAATACATGGTCATAGACAAGATGGATTTTAAATGGTAAAATCAATATCCAAAACCAAATCTACTCACTTGTATGTGTAAATGGAATTGGATATAGTAGTGGAAGCAGATTATTTCATAGTGCAAGCTGTCTTTGGAAACAAGCTTCTCAAGCTGAAGAAACAAGAATTCAACTGTTACGAGGCAAACATGAAAAGAAACAGAAGCTTTTGCTATATAGCAGATATCAATTGCTATATGTAGCTCAATTTATGCTTTTGTGTAAAAGTACACGTGGAGGATTTTATAGGCTTAATTGGAGGAAGAAGAACAAGAACCAGAAGCGTAAAAAAGCACCTTGGCCTCCGAAAACTGAGCATAGCATCCCCATTGGCTGCGCTCTGATGTCTCAAAGAAGTCACGCAGAAAACAGAAAGCTGCGTAGGGTTTTAACCAATCCTGGTCCCAATCAAGTAAAAGAAAAAGGAGAGTCAGGTTGAAGAATTGCAATTGTGTCAACCAGGTAATCCCTCCGAACAAGCTTAAATTATATATGAGAATGGAGCTAGCACTTGTCCATTCTTGATACGAGAACAGGGGTGCTTTTAAACAATTCTCTTATATTTATGCAACTAGTAAAACTGTAGATCAAAAATGTAATCAGATGATCACCTTATTTTCAGCAAAAAAATTCTGGAAAGAACTTGAATTAAGAATCATATCCTTCTCCAGAGCAAAAACTTTCTTAGCAATAGATAGCTTTGCAGCCATGGTAGCTTCATAATCTACATCCTGTAATGACAGAGAGCAAATGAAGAGATTACAGATTCATCTTATAAGTGTATAGATTACCTCGGCATGGCCTAAATTTCTCTGGGTAAAACCTTTACATGATCCCCAAATCCACAATGTGAATCTCCAGATCATGACATTTTTAGTATCAGATCCTACCAAGTCAGGATCTGTTAAATACTAAGATTAAATTTTCTTTGCTTAATACTTTTTGTGTTTGTGAGGAACCAAAGTTAGCAAATTATCCCTAGGCTAATAAACCTGAATGCTTAAGCATTTTATGGTGTATTCATTTTCAGTTGGACCCAATTGATTGAGTTGTTATTCTAAGCACAATATTCCATCCGCACTCTAAGAGCCTTGCCCCATGCAAATTAACTATGAAACCAGGATAGCCCTTAGCCGTAAATATTTACATTTTGACAGCCAAATTCCCTAAAAAGAAACTGAAGGGATTCTTGCAACATTATATATCACTGACAATATATCTTTTTCTAATTACCTTTTTATGTTTTATCATCATTGACAATATACAGAACATGGCAATAAGATGCCAGCCATAAATAAGAGATCTGAAAGTTAGTAGGTCTGACATCTGTAAAAAACACTTTTACCACAAGGAAAGACACAAGAACATAAGCATAATGAAAACATTAGCTTTGGTGCAGCATGAACTTATGCTTTCCTTCCTCAAAACAAGTTTATTAGTTATAAAGTTTTTCTCCTTTCAAGGTTAATGGAACAATGCAACATCAGATTCAATTAGAAATGGATTTTCAACCATGCAAGTACCATTACCAAACAATGTAAACGATCTTAGAGTCTCGTCTGAAAGTATTAAGATCCAAAACAGTCAAGTCATCCAACCAAACTTGTTTTGATCAATTTATAGCTAAGTTCACTACCTTGTCAGGGCAAAACTAGCCTAAGCACCATGGATTTGTAGGGATCATATCATATATGATAGTTACTATACTGGCCAAGAGATGCTGATGAGCAATTTGACAAACGTTATTGTCTTCACCTTTTGTTTGTTGTTTCAAACATCATGAACACAAAAATAAACATATTTTATGAATGTTCTGCATCAACCTAAGACATCACAAAAGGAACGAGTCACTGTAGTTTAATGCACTCTGGTGCTGAAAACTCATTAGGAGCAGGTTAGTGCTATATGCATGAAATGATCTTTCCACTCTCATTGAGACTCACTGCTAGCCCTCCCTATGTCACCCTTCCCCAACCCAAGAGCCCATGTAAAGCTCACTCCCCCTCTCTCCCAGCACACCCTCCTCCTCCCACTTGACTGCCCCTCTCCCTCTTGGTCTTCAAACAGCCCCCTCCCGCTCTTTCTCTCCTCACCGTAGTCCACTGACTTTTCAAGACCCAGGTCAACCTTTACACCCTATAGCCGACCACCTCCTGGACGAAATCAATTTACATTCAGCTCACTTTTGGACAAAATCATTGAGAACTTTGCTCCGGGAGCAATCTACTCACAGATTCATTAGCTCCAGGTGGTGATGGTGTTTACACTCTTGACAACAGTTTGGTTGATGCATGCTTGGTTGTGTTTGTGCTAGAGTAGTGTGCATCTCTCCCTGCTGCCATGAGAAGTCTGTGGTGGCTATGCACAGGAGAGAGAGAGAGAGAGAGAGAAGAGATCTGCTGCCTGCTGGCAGAGTTGTCACAAAAGGAAGGTGAAAGCAACTGAGATGTGAAAGAATCAAAATGAGAAGAAATAAAAATAAAGATAATGATAATGATACAAACATAATTTTGTTAAACAAAATTCATTGCTTATCTGATTCATGTAACTTTGTTGTAAAGAAATAACATAAATCATGCACTAATACAATCTGTAGGAATCCTGAATGAGTAATCTTAGGAGATAAATTAGTGGAGGAAATCAGGGTGAATGTAGGAATCTTGAATGAGTAATCTTAGGAGATATTTTAGGTAAATTAGTGCAGGAAATCAGGGTGAATAAGCTGTCACCAAAATTAAGGGAATTAGATGTAGACTTTCCTTGTTTAGTGTACCAGAAAATTGTATATATAGATTAGAATGAATTGTAGGAAGATACAGAATTAATAAAATCTCTTTGATTCTTTTCCAACATGGTATCAGAGCCCGTCTAGGGTTCTGGGAAAAATACCACCTTTGCTTCTTGTCAATTCCAGCCTTAATTGCTGGTTCCTTTCTTATTTTCTCCAGCCTTCATTGCTGTTCCTTTTACTATACATTTTTTTTTCCTCCTATTCAATCATGGCGGATGCTACATCCTCAACGCGGCAATTGTCTTCAACTGTGGAAGAAGAACAAAGTACACGGAACACAACAGAGCTTCAAAACATCCAGGCAGCATATAGACTAAATGGAAAAAATTATTTGAAGTGGTCTCAATTGGTTCGAACATTCCTGAAAGGAAAAGGAAAGTTGAGTCATCTATTGGAAATAGCACCGGATAGTGAAACGGCAGGGTTTGAAGCATGGGAACAAGAGGATTCAATGATCATGTCTTGGTTATGGAATTCCATGATTCCTGAAATCAGCGATACATGTATGTTTCTTCCTACAGCAAAGGCAATTTGGGATGCCCTTCATCAGACATATTCCAAGGTTCATGATGCAGCTCTTATCTATGACATCAAGACAAGGACAACTGGAGCAAAACAAGGGACAAAAACAGTGACGGAGTATGCCAATTTTCTACAAAACCAGTGGCAGGAACTGGATTATTACAGGACACTTGATTTGAACTGTAGCAAATGTGCAGTGTTTATCAAGAAATTCATAGAAAGGGATCGAGTTTATGATTTTTTGGCTGGCCTAAACTCTGAATTCGATCTTGTACGAATTCAAATTCTGGGCAGGCCAGAATTTCCCTCTTTAACAGAAGCAATATCCCAGGTACGTGGAGAAGAAAGTCGCAGGGGTATTATGTTAGACCTACCTTCAATAGAAAATTCAGCCCTTTTAAGTTCCAAACCTCAGCGGTTGGTACTGAACAAAGTTGCTGCGGATAAGACCAATCAAACAAGTGGGCAAAAGAATCGCGAGGAGTTGTGGTGCACATACTGCAAGAAACCACGACACACCATAGATCAATGCTGGAAACTACATGGAAAACCACCCACTCGTGAATGGGGACAGAAAGGTGGCCAGCAAAGGCAGGCTTATATGTCGGTTCAAGATCCAACTCAAGTGATTGGAGGGTTTAGTATGGAGGAAATTGAGAAGCTTAAAAGTATGTTAGAGACAGTTGATAAACCAGCAACTAACAATTCTCAATCAAGGAATCCGGGTATGTGTTCATTGACACTTTCAGGTAAGGCTCTAGTCTCTTTTGCGTTTAGTGTTTTAGGCAATGAGCTTAGGAATGTCTGGATTCTTGACTCTGGTGCTACGGACCATATGACTCATATTTCAAATAAATTCAAAACCTATAACCCCTGTCCTAGCAATAGAAAGATCGTTGTCGCAAATGGTACTACAACCACTGTGGCAGGTATCGGAGATGTCCAAGTTACTCCAAATTTGATTCTTAAAAATGTTCTTCATGTTCCTCAGTTATCTACAAATTTGGTTTCTGTAAAAAAACTTGCCAAAGATCTAGTTGGCTCTGTTATATTTGATGAATCCTGTTGTGACTTCCAGGACCGGGGCTCGGGGAAGAGGATTGGATTTGCTAAGGAGCATGATGGACTCTATTACTTGGATACATCCAGTCAACCAGAATTTAGTAAATCTGCCCTGTCCACAGTATTTTCACCCTCCAATAAGGATGTCATCTGGTTACATCATAGACGTCTAGGTCACGTGTCTTTTTCTGCACTAAAAACAATGTTTCCCTCCTTGTTCAAGGGATTTGATGTTCAGTCTTTTCATTGTGATATTTGTGAGTATGCTAAACACACTCGTGTACCATTTCCTATCAGTAATAAACGATCGTCTTCTCCTTTCTTTTTAATCCATAGTGATATTTGGGGGCCATCAACTATTCCAAACATCTCAGGGTCTAAGTGGTTTGTCACATTTATCGATGATTGCACAAGAGTCTCTTGGATCTATTTACTCAAAAATAAGTCTGATTTGAGTCATATTTTCCCTGTTTTTCATGCAATGATTCAAAATCAATTTGGCACCAAGATAAAACACTTTCGTTCAGATAATGCTCGTGATTATTTCAATCAAACCTTGAGTCCGTTTTTCCAAAAAGAAGGAATCATACATGAATCATCCTGTATTACCACTCCACAACAAAATGGAGTGGCAGAACGGAAAAACCGACATCTTCTTGAGTGCACTAGAGCCTTACTGTTTGAACAAAGTGTGCCAAAAGCATATTGGGGAGAAGCTGTACTCACATCAACTTATGTCATAAATAGAATTCCTTCCAGGGTCTTGGGGTTTCAAAGTCCACTAGAGAACCTATCCAAATTCTACCCCGATATTCGATCTTCCTTTAATCTCACTCCTCGAGTTTTTGGATCTACTTCCTTTGTTCATGTCCATAATCATAACCATGGGAAGTTAGATCCTCGTGCTCTTAAGTGTGTCTTCGTGGGGTACTCATCTACCCAAAAGGGTTACAAATGTTATCATCCACCTACTAGAAAACTCTATGTCTCGGCAGATATTACATTTGTTGAAAATAAGCCCTATTTCATCACTCCTTATCTTCAGGGGGAGTTATATACACTTGAAGAAAAGGAGTTAAAATTTCCCTCCTTAGAGTTGTCCACATCTGAGTCATCCAAATCTGAATTCCAAGAGTCAATTCCTCAATCTGATGTGGTAGAAGAAAAAAAGGAAGATCATAAAATCTATGACTGGTTCCGGTTTGACCAAGTGTATGCAAGGAAAGGAGATCCCATCGTGGTTTCAAGGCAAGAACAATCCTCTAAACCAAGCTCCGGGAATGAGGTAACAATGAGTGAATCAAATCTGAATTCTACACCACCGACCGACCATTCTTCCAGCTCTAAATCACCTTCTCCTGAGCCTCTTAGCCCTGACCAGGACCTACATCTACCTATTGCTGTAAGGAAAAAACCCCGAGAATGCACCAAAAGACCCCTATACCCATTGTCTCACTTTGTGTCTTTTGAGAAGTTTTCCCCAAGCCATCAAAGCTTCCTTTCCACCTTAAACACAGTCTCTATTCCTAGCTCATTGTCTGAAGCATTATCAAAGAAAGAATGGAGACTTGCTATGGAAGTAGAAATGGATGCATTAGAGAAGAATGGGACTTGGGAATTAGTTGATTTACCAAAGAACAAGAAAGTAGTGGGCTGTAAGTGGGTGTATGCAGTAAAGTTTAAAGCAGATGGGTCCTTAGAGCGCTACAAGGCAAGGTTAGTCGCGAAAGGATACACACAGACATATGGAATAGATTATCGGGAAACGTTTGCTCCGGTAGCAAAGATGAATACAGTAAGAATTCTGCTATCCTTGGCTGTTAATTTTGATTGGGAATTACAGCAGTACGATGTGAAGAATGCTTTTCTTCATGGAGAGTTAGAAGAGGAGATTTATATGAGCATTCCACCGGGATTCAGTGGGGTTGACAAGAACAAGGTTTGTCGGTTAAAAAGGCATTATATGGGCTGAAACAATCCCCACGTGCTTGGTGTGGACGATTTGCCAAGGTAATGATAGCTAATGGTTACAAGCAAAGTCAAGGAGATCATACCCTGTTCATCAAGCATTCAGCCTTCGAGGGAGTTACTGTTTTGATTGTATACGTAGATGATATTATAGTGACAGGAAATGATGAAGTAGAGAAGAAAACTTTGAAGTGGTGCCTAGCCAAGGAATTTGAAATAAAAGATTTAGGAAAATTGAAGTATTGTCTGGGAATTGAAGTGGCTCGATCAAAGCAGGTAATTTTTATTTCTCAACAGAAGTATGTTATGGACCTGCTCAAGGAAACAGGCATGACAGCGAGCAAGCCAGTTGGAACTCCCATTGAGCAGAATCACAAATTAAGTGAGGCTCATGGAGATACAGCAGTGGACAGAGAGAAGTACCAAAGACTTGTTGGGAAACTCATTTATCTCGCACATACTAGGCCAGATATAGCTTACTCAGTCAGTGTTATTAGTCAGTTTATGCATGATCCTAGAGCAGTTCATCTACAAGTAGTTTATCGAGTGCTTCATTACTTAAAGGCACACCCAGGGAAGGGAATTTTATTCAAAAAAGGTCCTGAAATTGATCTGGCAGTTTACACAGATGCAGACTTTGCAGGGTCTGCAGTCGACAGGCGATCAACTTCGGGATATTGTACATTTCTTGGAGGAAACTTAATATCCTGGAGAAGCAAGAAACAAAGTGTGGTAGCAAGGTCAAGCGCTGAAGCAGAGTTCAGGGCTATGGCAGCAGGGGTATGTGAATTATTGTGGGTTAAAATTATCCTAGAAGACTTGAGGATTCAATGGAGCAAACCGATGAAGCTATACTGCGATAACAAATCTGCTATAAGTATAGCTCACAACCCAGTGCAACATGATCGGACGAAGCACATAGAGATAGACAGACACTTTATTAAAGAGAAGCTAGAAAGTGGATTGATTTGTACTCCGTATGTTCCGACAGGACTTCAACTTGAAGATGTGATGACAAAGGGACTGTGTAGCAACATGTTTCATGAGAGTGTTGTCAAGCTGGGAATGGAAGATCTGTATTCACAAGCTTGAGGGGGAGTGTAGGCATCCTGAATGAGTAATCTTAGGAGATAAATTAGTGGAGGAAATCAGGGTGAATGTAGGAATCTTGAATGAGTAATCTTAGGAGATATTTTAGGTAAATTAGTGCAGGAAATCAGGGTGAATAAGCTGTCACCAAAATTAAGGGAATTAGATGTAGACTTTCCTTGTTTAGTGTACCAGAAAATTGTATATATAGATTAGAATGAATTGTAGGAAGATACAGAATTAATAAAATCTCTTTGATTCTTTTCCAACACAATCTGTTTTACTTTTCACTGACAAGTTGAAACCACAAACAGTCATCAAAAAGCCACTTATAGAGCAGCACAAAGCTTATATGTCAAACGTGATTTGTGATTCAAGTGTTTACATAGTAAATGATGAGTTCTAGGGCTTAGCTAACAAATGCGCTGAAGTTCAAACAAACATAATTTTATGAATCAGGTAAATAAAACTTTAGCACTAAAAAGAGAAAGGGAAAAATTTATGTGATTTATTTAGTAATTGGAGTCCACGAGATTAGGCTTTTGCTAACTTGGATTGACTGGAAATGATTCTTATGCTGCCAATTTTGATGCAAGATCTTGAAAGAATTCTAAATAATAATATGGAGAAAAGAACAAAAGATGAGACAAAAACCTTTAGATCCAGCTGCGATCTTGCCTTCTCTATCTCTTGCTGTGAAATTCAATAAAAGAATATAAAAAATCAAGTGAAAGAGCTACATCCATAGGGCCAGCAATTACTATGCACAAAATTTAGTGGTATATCCAATAAGAAGAATCATTACTATCAGCACCTTGATTTCCTCTGGAATTTTATCTGAAAGTGCCTGCACCCTTAAGTACAACGGATGCAGCGCAAATACTGAGAGAGAGCTGCATAACCAAAGTAACAAGGAAAGAGATTATGTGACTAACAGTTTGATCCATAACAAACTTTTCATTTACACTAAGTCATGTAATTAGTACAGGTCACCCAAACAAGCAATCTTTTCTTACATCTCCAAGGCCAGGAAAAAATCAAACAAAAAAAAAATGAAAGGACAATTGCATCGTGATTACTTTTCATCTTGACCTAAGGTCATTAGCATATTGTTGCCCCAGCTAAACATGTAATGTTCAAATTTTGTGATTTACCAAGAAATTATATCTTCAAAAGTTAAAGATTTGATAAAGATACAGAGAAAATGTGTCAGAACAGGAGACTGAAGATATGCCACTATATCAGCTCTAAACCACATCATATGGCAAGAAATACAATTGATCTCACCTGTATGGATATGAATCCCACCACATTCCATGCACTGATGTATCATTAATTGGCAAAAGCTGCACCAAATGGAACCCAGACTCAACTGCCCAATCTACTAGTAACTTGAGATCCAGGAACTCGCCCACTCCTAAATCTTCCTCAGATCGGACAGAGAACATAGGAATTGCAACACCAGCTCCACGCCAAGGCATTTCCTAAGACAACAAAAGAATTAGTTGTCTGATCATTTGTTGTTGCTTCATAATCAGGAAAAGTGTAGAAAGAGTTAGTTTCTTGCAATCGCTTACTCGCATCAAGCCATCCGAACAAACAATGTACTTTGGTTGACCACGTGAGAAATCAACAGTAATCTCTCGATTTGATCCAATTTCTACAGATAATTTCCCTGTCTTGCCATGTTTAACGTATCTATATGTGAACGGATGTTAAGGCTTAAAGGGGAGAGAGAGAGAGAGAGATTAATAATATGTAGAATAAAGTCATTTAAAAGGATATTTTAGAGGGAAGTCATCCTTTTGCATTACACAATCCGCTTGCCAAACTGATTCTCCAGCATAATTAAGCTTAAGTCCTCCCTGAGCCTTCCACTGTCCCAGCTTCAAAGGACTACCAAGTACATAAATCTGCGGGAGAAATTTTGAATTCATATAAGAAACACTCAGAATAAAACAATTGTCAATTTGGGAGGAAACGCGTTCTTAGTATTCAAAAAATCACATGTCAAAAATCAAAAAACATACCGATGTTCCTTCTTCTATGTTGGGACAGCAGATTCTGAACTGCACAATAACTGAATCTGCTGAGAAAGCTGATCCACATAAAAATGGTGTTAAAGATACCACAGAAGTTTCAAAATGAATTTTGATATCTGAAAGACAAAGCTATGTCAAACTCAGGATACCTTCCTCATGCAACTCTCTCTGATTTACTCCAAGAGGTCTCTCAATGTCCAAACTCCAGCTTCGTCGAAAAATAACATTCTTAAATGCACTGCTGAAAGGTAGAGCATCAGACCCGGTCTGCATAATGGATGTTACCATGTCAAGATTTCAAGACTTAGAAAACCAAATTTATTTCAACAAATATTACTTTTCAATAAGAAGAATCCCAACTGAAAATTAGTTAGCAAAAAGTGCAGGAACCCAGTCTTTATTAACTCATTCAAGAACTTTAGGGGAACAAATGTGCAACAATCTATTATGACTCCCAAGACACATGACCCAGGAGTAACAAGATTTCTTAGGATAAATTAGTTAAGCCTCCTTCAGATACATGCTAAAAAGGCCCGAGGAACGAAGCACTGAAGAAACAAATCAAAAACCAAGTTCAATGTGTGGCAGATACAAAGTCACATGCAGATGAAGGAAACACAAAGCTGATACCATGTCAAACGAACATTAGCATCTAACAAAAAACTTTTGGTAACTGATTAGTGGTGCAAGATCTCTATTTACTTGCTCACAAAGTTTTGCAGATTTAATATGAGAAAGAATTTAACAAACTTAGAAAGGTATTTTATGTTGTTCTTCATTGGTCTAATCTCCAAAAGTCAGTTTGAGTGACTATAAGAGAATTCAGGACTGACTTCCAAAACAACATTCTTTTCAAGTGGAAAACAAGGAGTAACTGGATTTGCATTTTAAAAATAAATAAATAATTAAATAAAAGGAGTTACTGGATAGAAGCGAAATACTAATCCAATAGCATTAGCTTCTATAGAAAGCCAAATCTTGGTGGTATTATTCTATGTGCAAGGAAGGTAGGCAGGCTCTTACTTTTTCTCATGAATGCCTGTTTGATGACTTTTAAAGTTGAACAAAGTGTTTCACTCTGAATTAAGTTAGCTCAACAAGAAAGATGATAAGGAAAATAGGAATGAAAACGTGGTAACTTTAACAGAAAGTCCACAAAAATGTTAACAAAGCTGAAATCCCAAGCACCAGAAACTATATGATGATTTTCAAAGGTAAAGACATAAAGTTGTAATATTAATTCCCTCCTATCTGTCCTCATATCTTTAACAAGCTATTTCTCATAATAAACAGAAGGTTGCCTATTTATCTGTCATTTTAGCAATTATTTCTGATATAGACCTGTCTATTATTTTCATATGACCATGCAAAACCAGAGATGTCCCACGATGTTAACAGTTAATCTATAACGCCACCACATCTTACGGCTTAGGTTTCTATCAACAAGTAAACGAGTAAACATATCAGCAATTCAAGCATTTACTAATAATTCTTTTGCTAAACCAATTAATTTTACTTGAATTTTTGTATAGTCTTATACATCATTCATAAATATGTAGAGGCCCTTTGAAACATATTTAGAATGAAAAGAGAAGGATCTATTCATATATATAAAGAGTTGGGAGAAAATGGTGTAATCTCTGTCATTTTATTGACAAATCAAAGAAGATAATCCCTGTACACATTGTAACTTCCACCTCAAATAAATATTCTCTATAACAGTGAAACTGAACTGGCAGTAATACACTCCACATTGGAACACTTGTATGGCATAGGAGTTGTCAAATGACATTTAGACGGCTCAGACTTTGAACGAATTGGCATCATACACGATGACTTGCAAAAGAGTTTACAAAAGTCTCCCTGCAACATATTACCAGTAAGGTCCATGTTCAGCATATATGTTGTTCACTTTTGATACCAGAGAAATTTACTCCCATTACAAATGGGAAGAATGTTTAGAATTTAACAAGTAAATATCATTTTGTTGCACATACACCATAAGATATAGTCTACTTTTAAGAGGGACATATCCAATTAATGTAATGGGAAACATATCCAAAAATAACAAAAGGAATGAATTTCCCAGTTTTCACATATACAGACCTGCCATAGATCATGAAGCTCAACCAAATGTCCACTTTGAACACCTTCAGGTAGCAAAAGCTTCCTTTTGTTCCCAACCTCCCATCTCAAGACATTTCTCTCATCATCCACCACATAATAGTTGTACTCACATCTGAAGTCAGCAGGAACAGGTATACGCCCAGACCATATGAGTTCCCCGTCTTGGTTATATGGACTCAATAACAGACCTTTCTTCACATTCCATGCACCTAGAATTGGCTCAGAACCACACACCAAAAGATGCTGTCCCCACTGAGTATAGTAAGGTATTCTGAAGCTCACTGTGACAGACTTCAGATTCTTGGTCTGGGTAAGCAAACCCAAATTCAAATTCACCATAGTTTCTCTAGAACTTCAGTTGCACCCTGGTCAAATTTATCAAGAAACTAATAAAACCAATCTTACAATTCTCAACCCTTCAGATTAAAAGAGAATCAATAATTTGTGGAACCCTCCAAATCATGACCCTCACTTGATGACTTCTAATTCACGTAGTTTAGCTTACAAACTAATAATGACAGATGGACTTTTTTTTCCCAATGCCGCAGCTCCGAAATGTATTACACTAAATTACTCAAAGATAGATAATTTTACATCGAACCAAAATAAACCCACCATAGAAATTTCGTTCATTTGATGCACAAAGAAAGTTAACCCTTCTAATACAAAATCTCAGAAAAAAAAAACTGCAAGAACAGCGGGAAAAAGGTAAGAGCGATTTTTAGCACATCCAAGATTCCATTTCTATGAGGATTGATTTAAGCAATGATTACACTCCCTTAATACATCAACATTACCGAAAACCAATCCGAACCCAGTTCAGTGAAGCATCAAGTTAACACATCATACAGTGGAAATGCACAACCCTGCAGTAATCATAATAGATTGACCATTTTATAATAAAACTGCAACAAGTAGACAATCAAATTTAAAATATTCATAGAATTGATTCACAAGGTACTCAAAAATTGATCTTTTTACACAAAACTAGACTATAAACATAAGTAATCTCCAATAAGCCCACAAAGTACGGAAAAAGACTGGATTTTTAGCGCAACAAAAGATGGAATTTTCAAGACTATGGACTCAAGAACTGACCAGAATCTATCAATACATCAACCATCAGTGAAAAACAATCAAAACCCATTTCACTATCCAATCAAATTGGCAGACCTTCGTGTCAATTTAAGTCCGGTTCAATGAGCTTCAAACCTTCAAAGAAAATGACCGATAATGTTGTTCTGCAAAGAGGAGAAGAACACATATAAGTGCCAAGTAGAATATAGAACGTGGGCTGTGCTTGTTCTTTCCTTCTAAATACATGCCAAAAAAGGGAGAAAGAAACAAGTTTGGTTTATGTCATGCTACATGTTTGTGCGTGTCACATTCAAGAATCAGTAGATTTTTATTATGCGAGAAAAAGTGAGAAATCAGAAGAGGAAGCCGTGATATACCTTCTCTATGAGATATTTTTTCAAGTGGTGAAAGGCGTCTTTTAGTGGGAAGAAAGGAAGCAGCAGAGAATTGCAAATAGGAAACGGGAAATTGCATTGATTGCTCAGCTCTGCGGTCACAGTTGGGAAACAGAGTGTTAGGCTCCTCCTAGTCAGTGAAATAATGCAGTTGGGAGTAATCCACTTTGCACCCCTATAACTTTTGTTATCTTGGACTTTGTCCCCCAAACAAATAATTTCGGAAACTTTGTACCCTTTTCTTTAAAATTTTTTTTTTTTGGATCAATCACTGCAAGAAACTTTATATCCTTTTTTTACCTTTTTTTTTTGGATATTGTGATTTGTTTGGAGGGAATGGTGATGATCCAAAGCCGAAAGGAAGGGGATGAAAACATAAAAACTAAATTTGTTAGGAAGGAAAAAAAATTAACTTTCTAAATGAAATATCAAGAAGGGAAAAATTATTTCTAAATGAAATATTATGTTTTAAGTACATATTAATTTGATATAATCATTAAGGTAGAACAGTTAATTAAACCCCTAGAGGATTAATTATGTTTCAAAAAGTAATATAAATAATTTCTATGATTTTGAAGCAGTCATTTAGACTATATTAATGTTTACTCCAAATGATGATAATGTTATAAATTCATGAAAAGTGAAAGTTTTTTAAAGAACTATTATCTTTGCAATATTCCAACAAAAATTTTGCCATTTGATGTAGGAGTGGACAAAATTATCCGCTAACCCGAAAATCCACCATATCTAATCCAATCAAATCTGAAAATTAAGATACTCGATCTATATTATTTAATCGAGTCAAAAGAGGGTTGGGTATCCGCTAAAATGCGGGGCAGGTTAGGGTTACATAATTAAAAATCCGCGAGTATCCGACCCACCCCACATATATATATTTTTTATTTTTATATGCATACTATAAAATAATATTTTTTAGAACTAAATAAGTAATTTCTATATATATGAGAGACTATAGTTTATTTACAGGATTTATTTATAGAGATCATGATCTTATGTTTTATATGACCTGACCCTATCTCAGCAGGTACTCTATAACCAAGTACCCGTTGATATGCAAGGTAGATAAGGATTAAAAAATGGCTGACCCGTAAGTTACATGCCAGGTCAGCCAAATAGTGGACGGGACAGGTACTCAACCCACGCCCACCCCTAATTTGATGTGCACATTTTATTTTGAATTAAGAAACTTTACTCCAAATTGCTTAAAACATTAAAATCACAATGTAATGTTTTGGATCTGTTTAGGGTTGTAAATCAAACAAAACAATTTGGTACTCAACTTGAACTAGATTCGAACTAAACTGGTTCAAGTTTGTTTGTTTAGGTATCAATCCAAACCCAAACATGATTTCAAACTCAAAAATATTAATGAACCAATCATGATTTTCATGTCGTCTGACTTGATATGTTCAGAAACATATAAGCCAAGTAAATTCGCTAAAAATATACATATAGTTTCCCTACTTAACTTCACTTCTTTCCTTTCCATATATTACTTATTTTAAGAGATAGCAAGCATAAAATACTCTCGTCTCTTTAATAAGCATAACTGATTTCACCGTAATAGATTTCTTGAATATCATAAAACAAAATTAAGGGAAAAAAGCAACATATTAGGGTGAATATCTCTATACAATACAACATGAAATTTCAAATTGAATCAAGTTTTGATTGTATGTGTTTGAATTTGATACTTTGAGGAGCCAAACCAAACTTTTTGTAAACATACATCTAAAATTTCAAACCAAACCCAATCAAATACAAACCAAGTTCAAACATTTCATTTAATCTTCAAACCAATCATGAAGATACCTCTGTTCGTTGAAGCTTGTTTTCAACCCAAGATCTGTTGAGTTTAAAATGGTACATTACTTCGCAAGCTTTGTTTAAAACAGCTGAGATCCTTTCAAGAATTCTTGCAATGCCTCGAGATGCTATACAAATGAACTCTATGATGCTTTCAGTTTCACTCTTAACCCATGTTATCTTTCAAAAAAAAAGTGGTATTATAAGTGAAACATTAATGTTATCATCTCTATAAGTTCAAAAATTAAGAAATGGAAGAGATGAGTTTCTTCTCTATTCATAGTGCTTGTCAAAGTAATGGACGGGAAGTTGAAAGAGTCTTCCAGAAGCCCCGCCTTGGTTTGGGTGTATTGCAAAGTCCAAATAAATAGATGACTTTCAAATATATAATCAGCTTGATATAAAAAGTTTTTTTAAATATAAATGGGAGGTATGAATTCGAAACTTTTCACTTATACACTTTCTTCACCTAGACCATCGAATTCATCCCTTTCCCGACCTGAAATTAGATGACTAAAGTATATAGCAAAAATTGATAGTTGGAGGATTTAAAATGCTGAAACTAGTGGATTGACAACTACTTCATCCTTCTTAAGAATTCTCGATCTTCCTATTCCCTTCTGCCAAAATTTCCCTTTTTTTCTGGGTTATTTTGTTACAAGCAGATGGATGTAATCACGGATGATAGAAAGCCTACACATATAGTAATCTAATCTAGTGCATAACTTTTATGACATAAATTTTCTCATTTGTCTTCTCAATTATGGACATAAACTCAACATAATACCAAAACCTATAAGGAACTCCAATACCCCAATGAATTGGCCAATTAGTTAAATGAATCAATAGACTATTCCAACCCATTCTTTACTCAAAAGCAGTATCCGTTTGTATTTATTTAGTTGTTAAAAAGTTGCTGCAAATAGAGAAACCAGTTTGGGCTTCAATATTCGTAACTAAATTCGACAAAACTAAAGTTATGTAATGCAATTAAAATTAGTCATCTTCTTTGGTCTTACGATTTTCACAGAAGTTAAAATTAGAAAAGAAAGAACCAAAAAAAAATCCTATTAACATATTAGTTACAAAAACTCGAACATGGTATGCAAAAATATGTCAGTCAGGTAGAACTGAAAACAAGTCTCAATGAGTCGGAGAAAGATATGTTCACAATTGGTTTCAAAATTAAAAGAAATGTTTGAAATTAATTTGTTTTTAAATTTTTTTTGAAAGAAACAGATCGAGTTTGGTTTGAAATTTCAGATGATATGTTCACAAGCTTGGCTTGGCTTGTCAAAATATAGAGTTCAAGCACATACCATCAAAACTTGGATCGGTTTGAAATTTTATAATGTATTATATAGAAATTTTCACCCGAATTGTTGCTTTTTTTTTTCCTTAATTTTTGCTCTTTGATATTCAAGAAATCTATTACAATGAATTAGAAATATAATTAAAATCAATTATGCATATTCAAGAAACAAGAGTATTATAGGAGTGCTATTTTGGAAGATAAGTAATATACAATAAGAGGAAAGAAGTGGAGTTAAGAATGAAAACTATAGGTATATTTTTACGAAGTGCCTTATACGTTCCTAAACATACCAAGTTAGACAACATGAAAATCATATTTGATTCATTAATATTTTCAAGTATGAAATCATATTCAGGTCTCGATTGATGCCTAACAAATAAGTTTGAATGAGTCTGATTCGAATCGAGTTCAAACCAAGTACCGAATTGCTTGGTTCGCGTCTTGTACGGTTGCACCTACAATTGACTCCCTAATTTGCCACAAGCTTTCGAAGAAAATTTGGACCATCCTGCAACTCGAATTTTAGTCTGGACCCCTATGATGAATCTAAGCATCAACTATTGTCTACGGTTGCACTTTCAACATTAGTGAACCCCGATCCAAGCTTGTCAATGATGCTGATATCCATGATGTGACGACTAGAAAATTCGCTTATATTTTCTTAAAATTCCCTCTTATTTTGATTAACTTACTTTATAACATCTTTACTACTCATTTACTCCCTCAATAGTTGTAATGAATAAGAGATTTAAGAGTTTTACCCTTAGTTTTATAGTTCGGGTAAACTAGGATTTTTACGTTTTTGGGTAGTATGATTACTCGGTACAGAGTGTGTACTGAATTTGGTGATTAAGAGTGAGTTTTAGATAAGAAAAAGTGTGTGATTAGAAGTAATAATAATAAGTTAGTGAATTATAAGTGAAAACCCTAGTACGTACAAGTTAAGGAAAAACGGTGTGAACCGACTTGTACCATTCGCTACCGATTGAATATACCACTTGAATACTACTTTATTACCTTAATGTCCTTGCTTTTATTTCAACTAATTAACCTTAAAATATCTCTTAAACCAGCCACAATCTTTGACCAAAGAAAAGAGGAAAAAAAGGAAAAAACTGAGAGTTAATCCTATGGCGACACTTGGCGGCCATCTACCTAACTTTGACCAACCAATTTCCTTCATTTTATAACCAAATTCACTTCATTTCCTCTTCATTTCTGCACATTCTGGCCGAGCTTCAAGAGAGAGAAACACAAGAGAGAAACTAGCAACGTTCACCTTGAATCCATCCTTGTTTGAGTGCAAGCAACCGAACTCAACCGATTAACCTTTCCTTTTGTGCTTGGAAGACTTGGGGTGCTGAAAATTTGGGAAGAAAGTGGTGTGTTTCTCACTTACAAGGGACTTTTGGAAGGTATTATGGCTGCCTTTCCTTTTTCTCTTCCTTAATCTTGTTTAAGTTTGGATAGAATCTTATATTCTTGGATTGAGATGGTTAATTTGTTAGTTTGGCATGATATGTTGGATTGTTGAGGTAGGGTTTGAGATTTTCAGTGTGTTTATTGTTGTTTACATGGTATATGATGTGGAGGAGCTTGGATAGGGACTTGGGTAGTGATTCAAAACATGAATGAGATTAGTGTAGACACCAAATTTTTGGTGTTTTATTATTTATTATTCGTTTTTTATTTGTTCTATTTTTATTCGTCACAATTAGTTTTATTTACTTTTAGTTTTAGTTATTTTAGCCATTTTAACATAGAATTTCTCAAAGGAAAAAGAAAAGCGTTCAAAAAAAAATATGTTTTAGTTGTTTTAAATTTAGTTTCATTATTTAAAAATGAAAATGAAAAAATGATGAAAAATTGAAAAACGAAAAAAAAGGGAAAAAGAAGAAAAGAAAAAAGAGGAAAATCTTAGTTTTTTATTTTTTGGTTATTAATTTTGTACATT